GTTGCAACCTTGTTTTGGCTCATTTGTGCGTCCGTGGTCGACTACAAACTGAAGAAGCTCGCATGCCCAAAGCTGGGGTAGACTCACGCTGTTGTTCTTGAAATGCTCAGAGAAAAACTCCTGTAACAAACTCTTTGAATTCTGTTGCCTATTCTTCAAAATCACTGTGTTTGATGAGCGCATTGGATATTTGTATTCAGAGTACAGTTGGACAGTTTGTGTGCTCTCCGATGGGTACGGGAAAAAAGAAGTCAGGCATGAGAAACTGCAGAGGATTTCAAAGGTGGGTCCTTGTCGAAAAAACGGCTAAGGATAGGAATTTAGTCATGTGAGAAGAAAAGACAGAATCGGGGATATGAGTGCAAAATGAAAGGATGAAAAAATGAAAGCCAGAAACTATTTTAAGGACAAAAACAAGCAGTAGGATCACTTTTGGCTGACAACTTAATATTGGTGGGAGAATCCCAAATGCTGGCTCCCTTGAGCACAACACAGTCTCTCACAGGCCTGGATAGGCATCATTTGGCTTGGCTTCGTGGCATTTATGTCGAATCTGACAAACACACACTGCAAATAAGCCGTGAAGAAAATGAACCAATCTGCAGAAATTCCCCTCGCTCTCTATCAGTGGAACAAATTCAGCGTCAGTGTGAGAGGAGATGTCATACTCTATCGCACTGGGCATCAAACGCACCCTGGAGTTGCACGCGCGTAAATAAGCGTAAGACATGACATGCTTCTTGTGGGGAACATCTTGGCTTAGTAATGCTTTCTTTCTCTCTCTCATATCTTGCGAGAGTTCTATGTGAACCCTGTTAGATTTAAATGGCACCCTGCTGTGCACACCAGCGGTGCACGTATACGTCTCCAATGTGGGGAGCAGGAGTTGCACATAGTATAGCAGCATGTTATGTGTGTTTGCTGTGCGTACATGTTTGAATATGTCTACATTATGTATCCATATACTGTATGCCAGATTTCATAAGTATAACAAAAGAGCAAAACTTAAAAACAAAACCCTCAACAGTAAAAAAATGCTCCAAAACGTGATGATTTCTTTTGTTTCTTTAGATGTTTATGGACAAATGAGTATTAATAAACACAATAGAAAGGCATGATTACTTTAAGTTAATATTAATTTAATATTATAGATTAAATTAAGTTGACTTTACCTAGAAACTTAAGCAAACTCGTCTCACCTTTAAAGGATTTACGCAGACTTGTGCACGACTTAAAGATACGACACATGAACTTATAATCAAAACAACATTACATAGTAGTTCAGCAAATTAGTAGTAGCTAAAGTAATTTAACTATGTCACTATTAATAGCCTAGATTTTTCATGGTATTTACAGTCATGTGCAGTCCAAGGTGCAATGCTCAGAGAAACTGCAAAAAAACCAAACCAAAAAGAGCTACGTTCAACTTCATGACAGTATATTGAGAAAAAGGCTGGACAAGTAGGCTGGTTTGGAAGGGTTGCCAGGAGAAAGCCTCTTCTCTAAAAAGAACATGGCAGCACTTAGATTTGCAAAGTTGGATCTGATCAAAACACAAGACCCTACATTGCAGCATAGGACCTGGACCAAACACACAGATCTGACTATGAACTCCTGTGTATATCAAAGTATTCGAGGACCAAATGTGAGGACATCTGTCTGACAGCTAACGCTTGATAAAAGTGGATCATGCAACAGGACAACTGTCTCAAGCACAGCAGCAAATCTACAACATAATGGCCAAAAAAAGAGAAACAAATCAAGGTACTACAGAGGTCCACCCAAAGTCCAGACCACAACCCGATTGAAATGCTGTGGCAGGACCTTAAGAAAGCTGTGAATAAGTAATGCCTGCAAACCTCAATCAAACAAAGGGCCAAAATTCCTCCACAACAATGTGAGAGGCTGATAACGTTGTATATAAACAATAAATTCTAGTTACTACTGCCAAAGTTGGTTCTGCAAGCTACTGAATCATGCCATGTAGCTTCCTGCATGCTTTGATGGACGGACGGACGAATGGATGATACAGCACGGGCAGATGGACCATGGATGGACAAATGGATGGATGGATGCAGGGGATGGATGATTTGCCAATCACAGCCACACTAGCGGCTGGGCGATCGTGGCTCAAAAGTTGGGAGTTCACCTTGTAATCGGAAGGTTGCCAGTTCGAGCCCCGGCTTGGACAGTCTCGGTCGTTGTGTCCTTGGGCAAGACACTTCACCCGTTGCCTACTGGTGGTGGTCAGAGGGCCCGGTGGCGCCCGTGTCCGGCAGCCTCGCCTCTGTCAGTGCGCCCTAGGGTGGCTGTGGCTACAATGTAGCTTGCCATCACCAGTGTGTGAACGGGTGGATGACTGGTTTCGTAAAGCGCTTTGGGGTCCTTAGGGACTAGTAAAGCGCTATACAAATACAGGCCATTTAAATATTGCTTTAATAAAGTGTATTGAATAATTATGAACTTTCGGTAACCAGTGGTAAGGCAAAAAAACTGAAAACCAAATAAATCCCATAACGGTGGTGGGGGTTTGAGTTACAGTGAACATTTTAAAAACTTTCTGAAGTGCTCTATTCACTATTTATTTTTTGTGATTTCTTTTTAAGTGAAAATGCCAGAATAAATGTATAAACTCTGAAGCTTCTGAAGATTAACAGTTGTGTACATTGTTATGCTTCTCCAAGCTGGATGTCCTTGTTTCTTCGGTTAACTCTGATCACAAGTGACTCCTAATCTGTGGTCCTGCATGAGCAGACACATCACATCAGACTTTTGAAGCCTTGCGCAGGTCTCTGAGTGTTGGTGTGTCATTCATCACTACAGTCCAAGACCGAAATATCACAGCAGCTGCAGACTCTAAAGCCCTTTTCATCAGTCTGTCATTCAGATTTATCTTATTTTTACATTAACATTTCTCAAAGCCTCATTCAGACATACCCACACTGATGGAGAGAGCCACAGTGCCATAGACGCAAAACAGCTGTTCTATCCCCCACTTCCACACATGCTTATTAGAAAGGGAGTCCTCTCACTTTTAAACTAGCAATACCAAAAATTTACAAAATGTCTCAGCGCTGCTGCAAATAAGAAACTTTGCCAGTTGGATAAGATGTGCATGTTAATGCCAGATTAGTAATAATACAAGCCTCATTGCTGTTTATGGCATTTTGGTGGGTTGAGAGACTCACAAAGACACACAAGAGTCATCTATCACTGGAATCTTGTGTGTATCAATTAATGAGACGTTAATTGTGAAGTCCTGAAACTGATGTAAATGCCAACAGTGACCTACACGGCTCATTCAAACATGTAATTAACATATTTAGATGCAGTCAGATTCATTCATGGTAACATGCGCTAGTTTGAAATGGGCTTTAGTGTCTCTTCCTCCATCAACACGTAGCAAACAGATCAGCAGCATTTGCCTAATTCACAGCAGACTGTTCTTGTGAACCTTTATCTAACTTGTTTTACTTTTAGTTTACTTAAAATCCATCTATAAATCCTCATAAGTACAACTTCCAGCACGTAGGGTAACCCAACAGCTCATCGGATGTTTAGAGAAATGTAGGATACATGCCGGTTTGTGCCGGTTAAGAGATGCAATTAATAAACAGTGTGTTGTTTCTTCCATGAGACAGCCCATATACCTGTAATATGTTTCTCTCTGAATCTGCTTCTCTTTTTTTTTTCTTTTGATGATACTATTTTGAGGTTCAACTCTGTTGTCAAGCAAAAAAAGAAGAAAAAACAACCTTCAAAAGATAAAGCTCTGAAGCAACAAAGTGCTCTAATTGCTGTATTGGCTATGACAGCCTCGTTCTTTTCTTTCATCACCAACACACTCCATCAACCTTTTCTCTGTCCTCCTGCAGTGCACTCATCTCTCCTCTTCAACATTTTGTCCTGTGACAGTAGCAAAAAATGGCCGACCTTACCTGGATTCACCCCTCCCCTCCCCATTATTTCTCTTTTTGTCCATCGCAAACAGACACATCTAATTATTTTGCGATGTGCCCATTTTTTTCCCCTCTGCATCTTCCACTCGAACCACTCTGAACACTGGAGGTCACATGTTTAAATAGTTTCTCTTCCCATCCGCGATGAGCACAAAAAGACATAAAACCAGAGTTATTTATTATGATATAAAACACGCAGTTTCGGGAAAATGAAACCTTGGAAGATGGACGATATTGAATTTTTCAAGATGGTGCTCAGTTCGAGCCATTGTCTTCCCCCCTCCCTCGGTCTCTCTGGGGACCCGGCACTGTTACGTGTTGCATTTAAGCACACAGGTCAATAAAGGTAATTGATAAGCTCTAGGATATATTGTGATAAATGAAAGATATCTCTGGTGCAATGAATCAAACTACCTCTCAGGCTAGAAATGGACAATTGTATGCCCCCGCCTAATGGGAATAAGCATAAACTCATCTCCGTATAACAGACAGACATCTATAGCGCTGTATTATTGGGCCATCACTTACACTTTATGAGCACCTCAGATACTGAGGCAGGGCCAGTGCAGCATCTGGGAAGGCCAGTTTATAGATTATTGGCAAGTCCATCGATCTGTCCGAAGAAGCCTTGGAATCACTTTTTCAACGGAGACGGGCAGAGCTGACATGTGCCTTATACGGCTAAAAATTAAACGTAACGTAAGATGCTTGAATTTGTCTTCCTATTAAATAATACCAAGAAACTTACATTCCAGACTCATGAGTTATTTAATATTGCTTTATGGCAGTTTACTTGATATTCTCCCCATCAAAGGGTAAACTTCTTGTACAGGCACTAGTGAACACATGAAAAACTGCTGCCCTCTAGTGGTCGCAAGCTGAAATTATCTTTATCCATTTTTATTTTGAACATAACAAAACAATGACGCACATTACTGTCACAAAACAGTCACACTCACATACACAATCGCAGTTATAACATTTTAAATTTGAACAATAAAAAAAAAAAATTAAAATTAAAAAAAAAAAAAAAAACATCCAGCAGTGCAAAAACTATTAAAAAACAAACAAATACTTTGGCATCAGGAAAGAGCTCACAGCTTATTTGCACATTCACCAGAATTATTTCAGCACAACTATATGCTAATATATATTTAGACAGCTATTTCACCCCATTTTTAAACTCACATTTCCATCAAGTGTATACTGACACACGCTTTCAGTACATTGTACGCATTTATTTTTTTTCCCATGGTCCTTTCTCATAAATAACTGCTGAGTGGTTTCTGGAAGCTGAACAAAAAAAAGAAAAGTGGTCCAGTGCATGTGCCTCTCCAACTGAGCGCTGCAGAAAGCCTTTTTGTCCAGTTTTGATGAGATTATTTTCTCTTGTGTCTCACAAGGTTCAAAATAAATTCTCCAAAATGGAATAAAAAAAATCTTCTGTTCTCAATTTAAAAAATTCATGAAAGGAAAAAAAAAGCAAAGTCCTTGTTTCAATCTGAGGCCAAGATCAGAGCTTTGTTACAAGAGCTGAGCAGTCATTAGTCTCAGTCTAAGACTAGCCCAGCTGCCTCAACTCAAGCAGCTGATGACAAAGTTTCACTCATTAGATTTTTTTTGCGTGTTTAGGCTTTCAAAATCAGCAGGTACGACTTCAATTCCTTGCAAAAGCTTATCATCCATAAAGCCCGTGTCCCGTCATTGTCCTTCAGGTTCGTCACCACTCCCGAGTTTTCCTGTTGATCTTTGCCACACTGTTCCCCAGTCTCTTCGTAAAGAGTGTGTGTGATTTACCACAATAAGTGTGTGTCGTTTTTAACAGTTCCTCTTCTAAAGGCTCCAACAAAGACGTCACTGGGTCTGTGCCGAAAGTGTACTGGAACGACAAAACAGGCCTTTCGTTAAGTCTGGCTTTGTGTTTTCAGCTTAACTTTGAGTTAAATTCCAAAGCTTTAATCTGTTTCAGCTTGGACCACGACAAAGAAAAGACGCGTGATATTTCAATCTGCAGTCTGTTCCGTATTCTATGACCTCTCCGTTTGTCCAATCCAATATATGGAAGGCATAAAGCGAGGAGCGCAAACCTCTCTGCATATACAGAAAGCCAGAGGAGGAACGCATGTTTCATTTATTTCTCCCTCTTGAACAAAAGCCTAAAGAACATAAAAAACATTAAAAACTAAAGAACATTCTCTTTCTGTAAATCAAAGCCCAATATCAAATTTGGCACTTCACATGTAATGGAGACCTTTTTTGTGTCCAACACGCAGGCAAAATAACTTACACTATCCCATTTCTGTTTCTTAAGTATGCTAGTGTCCTTATGGCTCTGCAGTTGGCTCAGAAACGTGAAAAGAGGAGCAGCAGAACTAATCAGATTTCCCAAGTAAGCGAGAAAAGTGGTGCGCTGAGCTGAATTTGTGCTCAGAAGATGTGTTTCCTTAGATACATTAAAAACTAATTCAGCTTCAATCACGAGGGACTCCAAATCTGATTGGTCAGCCAGGCTTGCACATAAACCGCTGGGTGTTGATGGGGGTCAGTTTTATGCTATAGGCTTACAATCCAGTAACAGCCAGGGATTAGAGGGAGAATTTCATGTCTTCCCAATAATGAAGGGCCCTTTACAATACTCTGAGGAAATCAATGGGGAATTACCATTTTTTATGCCAGCTCATTTACTTGCAGTTGGGTCTGATATTCGGTCACAAAGAGCAGGAGGTTTTTATGAGCGCATACTTATACACACCCGCTGCTCATAAAGTTGCATTTACAGTTGGGTGTATTGATTTTGTGCGGCTGATGGGGCGCTGCTGGTGCGCACACTCCAACTCTAAAAGTACCGCCAGCTGTAAAAATTTAACTGCTGCTTCCTGGGCGCAGCTTTTTTTTTGCAGCGGCGGGAGGGAGGAGATGCTTTACGACAGACAGGCCGATGTGCTGTGTTAGAGGCGGGGCGGGGAGGGGCCGTACCCTCGCTTCTTTGTGTGTGGATGCAGAGCATGGACATTGACTTACACACACCGTCTCCAGTTTATTGGGAATATTAACTGCTAGAATAAAGATCCTGGTTAAAATATTAACCAAAAAAAAGGGGGGAAGAAGTAAATCATTAGTTTTAGCATCAGCACAAATGATGCATTCAGGAGCCTTTGTCCTGCTGTGTAGCTGCTTATATATATACACGAGTGGCATAACCCAGTGGTTCCTGGGCACAAAATGTGAGGTGAAAAGTGGTCTATCGTAGTAGTCCTGCAGTCATCTCACAATGTGACTGCTGTTATTATTATCTACATCTACAAACTCACTCATATTTAGAGGGTATGACGTACGCTCTCATTCTTGCTGCTCTTTCCGAGCCACAGTTTGTCTTGTAAATAACATTCTGAAATTTCAAAGTAAAGGCACCGCCAGAACCTGCCTTTTCTCACTGTTTCCCTAGCGATCATCACTGTGCCTCAGCCCCAAGTCACCTGACTGCACACCTGCTCTGTATTAGTATTCATTCATCACGTGCCGTTCAACCAGAAAAGCTTCTCCAACAGCTCAGGGGAGTGTGGCACTTCCACTGTGGAGGTTTTGATAAGAAATTTGATAAAAGCTGCCTTGACTGGGGTGGTCTGTCCCTGACATCACCGTCCATCAGCACAACCCTCCAGGGATAACGCTGCGCTTCTGCTTTCACAACAGTGACAATAAATACTTGCATACATTTCTTGGTAAATGCACATGGTACTGTCCTGCTACTATGAAGTGTAGCTGTACAACAAGCTCAAAGAAATGTTTTTTCAGGAACTATTAAACGCACACAAGACTAATCCATACTCGTGCATCCTTCTGGCAAACCAGACTTAAATCTATAAAAGTATTGTGCAAAATGAGTGGGTGTCTCCACCTGCACATACAGTGCTGGTTAATGTGTCTACTGCCATAATTGATCCTATCCTGGAAAGCCACAGTCTTAACTGCAGGCCAAGGATAAGGTATAGATAAGGCATTACGCTGATCTATGTTCAATAGGAAAGCAATGAGGCTCCCAGTGTTGATGGCTTCATTAAGTAAATGCCACTCATGTCGTCAATATCATTACACTGCTGGTAAGCAACCCATAAACATCCTCGTGGGGGAAATTAGCTTTCCTCCAACCTTCTGCCAGTGGTGGAGATTTGTGTCTTCCAATGCAGACAATCTGAAGTCACCAGCACTTTTAGTCTTTAGGGTCAGCACCAATCTGAAATCTCATCAAGGAGGGGAACGAATCGGGGCACGAGGTGTGTCTCTGGGTTCAGAGGGGCTATAAAAGGGCTTTCCATCAGACGTTGCACTAAATTGCAGCTACAATACGTTGAAAAGTTTCAACAAGTCACTTTTTAAAGCTGGGACACTGGGAAATTTGCTTTTTGCTGCTTTTCATTCTGTCATATGAATACAAACTTATCCATTTGTCTTCCACTAACAATATCTGTCTTTTGTATTTTTGCACACCTCTGTTGCTTGTGAAGCTCGCACACAAGAATTTCACTCGCATGTACTGTATCAGTGTACCTGCACATGTGATGTGACAATAAAAGTGATTTGATTTTGATTTAAAAAGTATATAATCACTGTGTGTTGTTGAAACCCCTAAAACCACACACACACACGACTGTCTTTTGCTGTTTCTGTTTCTAGACCCTTTCACGTTTGTCATGTGTGTTCAGGGTGAACATGCTCTCATCTGTGAAATGCACAGGTCGGCAGTGGTGGACCTGCTAATCCTGGTATTCTATGGCAAATGGCACCAGGGCTCGCAAAATTTCAAAATCCCTGGTAGCCCTTCGGGCAGGGACTCTTCAGTTTTTTGGAGCCCAAAATAAATTTAAGTAGCCCAAATAAAAAAGAGAGCAATTTTTTGATTGATGTTTTGTTTCCTTTACAATATTATACATTAAAGTATAATATTGTAACGGAAACAAAACATTAATCAAAAAATTGTTGAAATGCAAATTACAACATTGTATAAAAATTACAATCATCAACTCAAATACTTGGTTCTAATTGAACAGACATTTCTATGAACTTGTAAGAACATGAATCAGTCTGTGTCAGATCCTGCATTTGAAATTTCCACTGAAGTCACGGGTGAGAGGCAAGTGGAACCAAGATCTAGACCATTTGCTTTTTGAAGTTTGCAAAGACTGCTAAATTTTGCCAATGCTAGTTCACTCTTTGCAACATAGTACGCTGTTCTAAACAGATTTTTCAGGTTTATTTTTAGTATGTTATGTTATGCAATTGGTGTTTGTTCCGGGAAAGATATTGCAGACTGAGCAATAATGCATTTCTTGCATTTCTCATGGGTTCTAATGGGGGCCTTTCTTAAAAT